AATTATACGACGTGGATTCCATTAAAGAATAACCGACGTGGGTTTTTAAATTACACGGCGGTATGTATATAAGCACTGCCGTAAGTTTAAAAGATTTATTGTATAAATTTGACTCTTTCTTTCAGTTTCAGTTTTCATTTAGGGTTCCAAGTTCTTCTGGTCTCTCTGGAGGCTCGTCTTCCTCTCTCACATACACACATACATCATCACTCTCTCTCACATCTCAAAGACAATAATTTGGATGTTAATGATGTATGCGTTTTGGTGTATCTCAAAGACACCAAAATGCACACATCATTAACTTTCAAAACATTGTCTTTCTCAAAGTTTGCCATGGTCAGTTCAGTTCTGGTTTCTTAAAATATTGTCTCACTTTGGTGGTTCTATTATGATCAGGATCCAAAGATCTGAATGGTAAGATATCATACCTCTAGAGATTTGCCTTTTAAGACGAAAATGTTGTTGAGGATTGACTTGATCAGTTGAGATACTTGATTTCCTTGTGATGGTTTTAAGAAAGATATTACCAAAATAAAAAATTAATTAATTAATTTTAAACAGCAATAAAAATAAGACGGCGGTTTACAGAGAAGGAAGACGTATTAATAGAAAACACACACATCATTAACTTTCAAAACATTGTCTTTCTCAAAGTTTGCAGTAGTCAGTTCAGTTCTGGTTTCTTTTTGGATTGTCTCACTTTGGTGGTTCTATTATGATCAGGATCCAAAGATCTGAATGGTAAGATATCATACCTCTAGAGATTTGCCTTTTAAGACGAAAATGTTGTTGAGGATTGACTTGATCAGTTGAGATACTTGATTTCCTTGTGATGGTTTTAAGAAAGATATTACCAAAATAAAAAATTAATTAATTAATTTTAAAAAGCAATAAAAATAAGACGGCGGTTTACAGAGAATGAAGACGTATTAATAGAAAACACACACATCATTAACTTTCAAAACATTGCCTTTCTCAAAGTTTGCAGTAGTCAGTTCAGTTCTGGTTTCTTTTTGGATTTTGTGTATTTAAAATATTGTCTTTCTCACTTTGGTGGTTCGATTATGATCAGGATCCAAAGATCTCAAAGGTAAGTTATCATACCTCTTGGGATCTCATTTTAATTTTCGTAGGCTACCAAAATTAAAAAATAATTAAATCTTAAAAAGAAATAAAAATTAAGACGGCGGTTTACAGAGAAGGCACCGTCTTAGTATACAGAAGTGGATTCCGTTATATTATACGACGCGGATTAAGAACAGTTGGTCGTGTTTAGTTAGGAGTTAACAAAATACAACGACGGTTTTATGTTCTGCCGTGGTCTTTTTCTGGTCGTCTTTTTCACTTTTTGTAGTAGTGTTCACTGCGGCTTGTCCAAGGCCGAGGCCGAAGTTTACCTGCCAAACTTCGTGGCCTGGCAATTCGGCCTGATTCAGACGGCCCCACTCCCCCCTCTGTCAACCAACCGGCTCTCGTCCTGGAGGGCCGAGGTCCCCCAGCAACACGGCGTAGCTGGTATAACTTTCCAGCTCCAAAGGGGGATGACCTTCCTTACTCTGACGCTTTGGCTGCGTCGTAATGCTTACGAAGAGGATGGAAGGGTCTGGTACGAGGAATGTATCTCGGCTAGATTTATTCGGCCTGTTGAAGAGGCCGTGAGGGGGGCCTTGAAGAATGTAGATTGGGATCCTCTTATCCCTAAGGGCAGCAAAGTGAAGAAGGTATCAGCCGGGCCTCCTCGCCTGAGTACCCTGGCCGTGGCCGCACCTAAGGTGACGTCCCCTCCCTCGGCTGGAACAACGGCCGTGGCTTCCACCGCGGCCCCATCCTCGACTTCGGCCCCAGCTCCCAGGGCGACGCCTGTGGTGGGGGCGCAAAAGACGCTGGCGCACAGGACCGTGTCGTCCTCCCTGCCGGCTCGACCGACCTCTGCCGCTGGTAAGCCTTGCTCATTTTACTTATTCATCATTATTCTTCGTCGGCCTCTCTAAGCCACTTTTGTCTTTGGTTACCTCACCTCTCTTTTTACTTCTTCTCTTTGTATACGCAGTCCCGGGTCGTAAGAGGGGTCGAGAGGCGCCAAGCACTGAGGCCGCCCCGGTTGATGCTGCGCCGGTCAGAAGCGCCGTGGTGAAGATGGCTACGGTGGAGCGACCGAGGAAAAGGACCCTCCTTGCTTTCTCGGAGGGCGGAGGTGAGGAGGAAGTCCCCCCTGTGACTGTGAGTGAAGCTCCCCCTGTGTTTGTAAGTATTTCTCCTTGGCCTCCTTTTCCATTTCTTTATTTCCCAGGTCACCTCCTTACACTTTGATAATCCGATTCTATTATCAGGGTGAAGTGGCGGTCGAGGAGGAAGTTACGGCCGAGGAGCCGATCGAGTGAGTAGCAGCTACCGAGATGGTGGTCGAAGAGGAAGCCGTAGTCGAAACGGTGATTGAGGAGGCGGCCACTGCGGAGACAACATAGCAGAAGTGCCAGCTGCTGAGGAGGCCGCCGAGGAGACTGCCGACGAAGGCGCCGAGGAGGCTACCGAAGAGGCCGCTGAAGAGGCTGCCGAAGAGGCTACTGCGGACGTGCCTGTTGAGCCGTTGCTGTCCGCTCCTCGTCGTCCGAGCGGCATTTCCTTCCGCTCAGTAAGAGTTCGCTTTCCCTATACTTAGCTTTATTGTTCTCTTTTAGAATTGCACTATACTCCTAACCGAATTTTTGTCTCCAGCCTCCACAGTCGTTGCTGCCGCTGTCCATGGTTACTATAACCATGCCCCTTGCGCCGTTGTCCCAGGACTCGACGGTCGTGACCGAGCCAGCGGTAACTGGGGCCACGGTCGTGAGTGTGCCAAGTCTCCTGAGGACTACTTCGGCTGTCAGAACCGAGCTTTCGCTCGCCGTGAGTATTCAGCCCTTTCTTTTTGTTATTCCCTTATGTCCTAGCTAATTGTTTCTCACCCAAACTCTTTCTCATGTCCAGGAGGCCACCTCCTCCGATGATCTCGAGGAGCTATACGCCAGCCTCCATGAGGAAGGGGGTAGCTCGGCCTCGGCTCCCTTGGACGAGGATTCCAAGACCGTTGTTGAACGGCTCCGAGAGTTCCTTCTCCTTGGGGTTCATCAAATAACCGCCGCCGGGGCGCTTATGGAGTTTAGGTCCTTCTCGAGAAAGTGCTAGGGCCGAGAAAAGGGGCTCCTTCGGCCAGTTCATGGCCGTGATTTATTAGGCACAAACAGTGGTGATCAAGCAAGGATGGGGAGAAACCACAACATTTCTCGCAATAGATTTTATGCAAAAAACAGCCATCAAGTTGGGATTAGCAACGTTGGCAACAAGAACTACAACAAGTCGAGCGTACCATTCCTTCTTTCTTCTTGTTCTGGCTTTATTTTTTTTTTCTTTTTATATATTAACGGTGAGTAAGCAAAACAAAAAATAAAGCAAGTGGCTTGAGTGAAAAAGAAGGCACGACCGAGAAGAAAAAGAAGAAGACAAATCAACAAGTGAGAAAGAAAGGTTCGGCTTGGAGTTTGGAGACGTATGGCCACCAAAGCTCCTATACTCAAACTTTTCTTTGCGTTCCGTTCTCTGAATTTGAATCTTATTTCTCTTATATATTTATGTATTTCTTCTTCTTCTACATGCCATAAGTATATTGATATATGAGTATTATTTCCTTTTCTTCTTGTGTACATGCCGTAAGTATTATTTCTTCTTGTTCTAGCCTTTTTCTTTCATAGCCACTGAAGTATATCAGGGTGAGAGTAAGCAAAACGATAAAGAGAGAAAATCTAAACAGAGAAATCAAAAAAAAAAAAAGGAGATTAAGAAATGTTTAAAGTCTTGAACCACATCATTAATTCGTGTAAGAAACGTAATTATGTACAGAAGCTGTGTGTTTGAACCAGGCTTTTCAAGTCAAATGACCTTTTCTAATTTTGTTCATGAACTTTACTAAAAGGAAAAGGTGTTGGCATGTTACGTTACTACCAGCATTGCTTGAATTAAATTAATAATTGAAAGATATAAGAAAAATTAAATTTGAGAGTTGGAGTTAGGGTTTGGATAAATAAAAAAAATGACAAACATGTAGAGAGAGACAGACATATACTTGGCTGGCCAGGTCAAGAACGATTTTAAAAAGAAGAGAATCAGAACCGTTTATCGCAATCGCAACAATTGGATGATGTGGATCCGACAATCCCCCGACCTCCAAGCATGGGGCTCTGTTTAACGTTCCAGATTGGCTGGCACTCGCACCACCATAAGCCTTCAAACCCATTCCCTCCTCACCCCCATATGAACAGATGCGCAGTGGGCCCAATTGCAATTTCACAACTTTACTATGTTTAATAAATTAACAATATTCCATGCGTATATATCTTCTTTCGCTATAAAAATCTAGTCCAATGAAAAAATGCATAAAGATGTGTAAATATTCTCTCGATCCTGATCGCTAGCCAGACCCAGGGGTCGGGTCGGTAAAAGCAGACGACATGGTCCAAAACAAGCGACGTGGTCTTCTAGCGGGCTCGGCTCATAGTGATGGTCTGACGCATCAACAGTAGCCCCTCAACTCTCTAACTCAAGGAGCCGATCTTCGTTGGGTTTTTTAGGTGAGCCAGGCCTATGTTTATTTTTTTCGGATCGGGTCGTATAGCCCCAATTCCATTACCGACCAGGCCTCCTGAAGACGCGCCAGGGTTTTTGAATTCGTATGCAGACACTTGAGTAGGAGTGACGTGGCGCTCGTCGATTAGATGTGCAGGAGTGCATTTAATGGCCTTTGGCAGTGGTCTTTTCAAAGGGTCGCGTCACACCATGTCACCAACGCTTCACATGACGGGTCGTTTGATGTGGGCACGTGTAGGCATCGTGGTGAGATGCTAAAGAATGGACGGTGAGGATGATCGAGCGATTTTAATACAATGGAAGAGGAATTTTCAGTTCTTCACTATTTCGCCATTGCTGCCGTGCTAAAGCTCTGAGCGAGTCTGTGCGAAGGAACAAGTTTTTGTCTTTCTGGCAAGGGAGATACCTGGTAAGTTCTGCCTTCATTCTTTTTTCTTCCTTTTCTTTCCTCATCCTCCTTTCTTTCCCAGAATAAGTATTTTCTTTGCCGTTGGTTTTCTCCGGGTCTAGTGAGTTGTTGTAGTGTTCGTTGATTTTTTCTTCATTTGGTACGGTTTGATTGTTTGCTTCCAACCCTGCCCCAACCTGGTTGTGTTTAAAGTGTTAATCAGTAGAACGATGTCGAGCCGATCAGACATGTCTGAGTCGCAAGAGACGAGGAGTAGAGGGTCGGCTTTTAGGGGTGACAGGGAGGATGATGTGGTTGAGCAGATGTTTGAGGCAGCCGACCAGATGGGAGAAGACATGCACATTGGCCTTGGAGGGAAATTTGAGTACCGTCGGGTTGGGCGGGATAGCCGAGGATAAGTAAGTACTTCTGATCAAGGCGATTGGGAAGGGGGCAAGCATAAGATGATCGAGCGATTTTGATACAAATGGAAGAGGAATTTTCAGTTCTTCACTATTTCGCCATTGCTGCCGTGCTAAAGCTCTGAGCGAGTCTGTGCGAAGGAACAAGTTTTTGTCTTTCTGGCAAGGGAGATACCTGGTAAGTTCTGCCTTCATTCTTTTTTCTTCCTTTTCTTTCCTCATCCTCCTTTCTTTCCCAGAATAAGTATTTTCTTTGCCGTTGGTTTTCTCCGGGTCTAGTGAGTTGTTGTAGTGTTCGTTGATTTTTTCTTCATTTGGTACGGTTTGATTGTTTGCTTCCAACCCTGCCCCAACCTGGTTGTGTTTAAAGTGTTAATCAGTAGAACGATGTCGAGCCGATCAGACATGTCTGAGTCGCAAGAGACGAGGAGTAGAGGGTCGGCTTTTAGGGGTGACAGGGAGGATGATGTGGTTGAGCAGATGTTTGAGGCAGCCGACCAGATGGGAGAAGACATGCACATTGGCCTTGGAGGGAAATTTGAGTACCGTCGGGTTGGGCGGGATAGCCGAGGATAAGTAAGTACTTCTGATCAAGGCGATTGGGAAGGTGCCAAGCATGGCCATCTAGGAGGTGCCGAGCAAGGCGATATAGGTCGTGCGAGTCTAGTCGGGGAGGAAGTCACAGTTGTTGTGCCTGACTCTACTGGCGGGATAGACAACAATGTAGTGGGGGAAGAAAACGAGGATGGGTGGTCGGCTGATGATCGGCTCGGTGTGGCACCCCATCAAATGAACCCCAACGTATACAGAACTATGCTGAGCGTACAGGAGCTGTGGCGACGAGTGCATGGTTCAGAGCCGACCATAAATCAAATGCTGCATTGCTTCTTGTTGAAAAGGAGTCCACATAAGGTCGGCGTCTGCTACCTTCAGAGTGCAGTGGGAAAAATGACAGAGAGCAACCCTTCATCTCAAAAGACCTGGAAACCGCATTGGTTCTACGCCTCTTGGACATGGGAGTTCCCCGAAGGTGCCGAGCCGAGGAAACCCAGAGTTCAGAGGCGGTTCCGAATGCCAGGTCTGGTTTGGTGTGTCAGATCCGTCCTCCTAGTGTTTTTTTTTGAAACGCAACGATAGGCTACTCTAAGGGAGGGGGCTCAAGCACCAATTTGCACACATGGGGTTTCGAACTGCGATGCCGTGGGGGGGAGGGGGAAGTCACCACCACTGTGGTAGAACCCACTGGCAGTCCTCCTAGTGTTTTTAGTCCCCTTTTTCGTACGTTTGCTGTTTTTCTTTTTTTCTTTTTTTTGTTTGGGCGAGGTGGGGTTTATTTATTTATTTATTTTTTTGGCTGTGTTGTGTGTTTTCTTTCTGAAAATTGTCCAACACATATTACCAATGCAGTAGAATCGGAGCGAGCCGACCTATCGTCTACCGAGCATGAGGAATTTGAGAAAGTTCTAGCGTTGCCGAGCCTCGAGAGATCGGCAGACGTTCTTCTTGCGAGTGACCTGCTGAGTGACTCGATAGGTAAGTGACTGCTTTCTATTTCGCTTAAATTAGTTGGTGCTGAAATGTTGACTAATTTGTTTCTTGTGCTTAGGTATGCCGCCAAATCGGAACGACCCCAACATGAAGGCGAGGTTGATGAAAATTGCCAAAGAGACAGTCAAAGGGTCGGCTGGGGGTTCGCAGCCTCCTCGGACGGTGGGGTCGTCTCATATGTCCGTGGCTGGAAACCAAGGCGCAAGGGTGGTTAATATACCGGCCCGGGTGGGACAAAAGAGAGTAGCCGAGGAGGTTTCACCTCTGGAACTCGGAAAGAGACGGGCCGAGGGTGAACCGAAAACTAACACGGGGAAGCGACCAGTAAGCTCGGCTGCTCCCGGATCGGGAGAGAGTGCAAGTGTGGATTCTGGTTGTGGTCCATTGGAGCCATGGGTGGACGGTGAGCTGGCACTGAGAGCATTCCAACAAAAAGCCAAGCGCGTTTTGAGAGTGGAGGTGGTAAAGAGCATGTTTACTGAGAACATGGGTTACAGCGGTATGACCATGTCCGCTCTGGAGGACCAACTGAAGGTAACATGTTCCCACCCTGTTCTTAGCTGGTTTGCTGTCCTGCTGATATGTCATTTGTATTGCCTTGGTGTAGGCTACCTTCAAGCTCTTTGTCGCCGCTCAAAACGTCGCCGCTCACCGTGATTTTGATCGAGGAAAAAGGGACGAGCATGCCTTGACTACGGCTGAGCTGAATAGGACTATTGTGGAGAAGACGAAGGTGGAGGAGGAGTTATTGGTGGTGCAGGGTCGGCTAGATGCAGAGACGAAGAAGAACGCCGAGCTTCTGTTGTCCGTAAATAAACTGACTGACGACAAGCATAGTCTAGGCGCGGAGCTGTCTAAGTCTCAGGAGGAATTAGGTGAGGCTAACCGAAAAATTGAGGCCTTTTCATCTGAGCTGAGGACTTGTTGTGACAATGCAGTGAAGGACTATGTAGGGTCGGCTGAGTACCAGGAAATACTCGCTTCACAACGAGTTGAGGGATACTTTGACTTAATCCAAAAGGTCGGGGAGAAGTATCCTTCTCTCGATTGGAATTTCCTCGGCCAAGAAGTGGAAGAAGCCGAGGCTGGAGCCGACCAGGGTGGCGGGGCTGACGTGGTGATGGGTTCGGGCGCCGGGTCAGTGATTCAAGTAGCCGAGCCTCGAGTTCAAGGTGTCAGTGGCGTGGCCCGAGTATCCAACGAGCCGTCTCCTGGCCCATAGGTTCCGATCGGGGCTTCAGGTCCCTCTGCCATAGCTGTTAGTGCTGCAAATGTCTAGGTTTTATGTGTGTATTTTGTAACCGATATTGAGGTATATTTTGGAACAATTGAACCTACGATCGGATCAATGTTGGTTAGTTTAATCGTTTACAAACTTCACAGTTTTTACTTTTAGTGATTGTGCATGTGCGTATTTGGTGTGAGCAGAGCCGACCACAGGTTTGCAAAATTTACAGAAAGTAACAAAAACAAAAATAAAATAACAAAAATAACTATCCCAAACGAGAGGAAACAGAATGGGCTATACATATCTTGCTCTGCCTTTTGTTGAGTAACAATTAGGTGGAACCAACATCGTCCTTCTCCTCGCCTTCACCTCCTTTTCTTTAGATATTTATGTGTTTATAAGCGTAAAATGCATACAGTTATTATATGGTCCTCTTGTTCTGGATTTGTGATAACATATTTTGAGGGATGAGAAGTACTAAATTTGATAAGTTTGAGGGAATCTCAAGATAAGTTTCAGATATGATTTTGTTTTCGAACCCACCACAGGAGTACCCCTCAGTTGCCTTGAAACAGTGGTCATTCATAAATAATGCCCCACGAGTTCGGGGATGCCTGAACTGTGTGGTGCGAGGAACGCGGCTCAGATTGACCAATGGTCTCCTGAGACCTGCGAGGAACGCGGCTTAGGCTGACTTACGGTCCCCTAGGACCTGCGAGGAGCGCGGCTCGGATTGACTTGGTGTCTCTGATGTAAGAACCCGGTCCTAAATTAATAGTTAAATATTAAATTATTCAGGAAAAGGACAATTTTACCCCATGAATGTTTAAATAATTAAAATAAGAGGAAATAAGTTTAAAGTGAGAAAATAAATTTGAAATAAATAATACAATAAAATGGTTTGAATTTAATTAAGGTGTTTGAAAAGTAAAATATTATTTAGAAATTTAGTTAAATACCCATTTCTAGACATAAAACTATAAATAAACCCTATACTATTTAATGTATATAAACACACCCAAAATAAACCCAAAAATCAACAGCTGTTGATTTTTTCAATTCAACAGTTATATTAGATTACGGTTTTGCCCTTTTGGGTGCAATTTTGAGAAACAGCCGACTTATTTATTATTATTATTTTATAATCTTTTATTTAATAACAATTATGCTGTAGATTGAAGAGGAATAAGAAGACGAAGAGCATCGACCATGGCGATGCATAAGCTCATAACTCGTGGAGCAGCTCGTGCGGTTCCAGGCTCATCTTCTTCCGCAAATCCTTTCCGTGCTCTAGGCAACGCTCTTATCGGTTCTTCTTCCAAGACTTAGGTTCGTCATCTTCCTCATCGCTTCTTTCACTTTCAATTTCTCTTCTCCATTTCGAATTTTCAATCCTCAAGTGGCCTCAACAGCGTCATTTTTTCAGGTTTTCGTTTGATTCACAAGCAGGAAAGATTGAAGGAGATACCTCATCCACGCCCACAGCTTCTGAGCCGTAATTTTGTCCAAACACTTATGGCCACATACTGCACCAGATCTGAGAGAACGCTCACAAGGATGAGCTTAAGAAGAACGAAGATATCATTTCAAGGTCAGCCGAATCATATTGGTATGATCGGTTTGATTATCGCCGAAATTCGAAGCTTGTTGAGCAATTTCTTTGCAATTTTGTGATTAATTTGAATATGTCTACGGTTTTTTTCCTTAGTTTTGCATTTCGTTTACAAATTGCGATAAATAAATTGATTTAAAAAAATCTAAAAATTACTTGCTTGCTTATTTGTGTTAGTTCTAATATGATTTGTAATGCTGGTACTGTGTTTTTAGTATTTAGCTGAATGGTTGAGCATTTGCATAAACATTTACTGTTTGTATGATGTACATGCTAAGCTATTGTTAGTTAGCAATTTTTGTTTCAGTCTTACCACTGCTTCTGCTATTAGAGAAGGATAATAATGTTGTTTACTTGTTAAAATTCCTTTTTCAGTGGTTTGAGACATATAAGTTATCTAGCCTGGTTTTGCTACTATATATATATATATATATACATATATATAGACACTCTACCTGCACGCAGGAAGAAAAGCATTCTTTTCATTAATCAGATATGAGTTGTTTGTTATGTAAATTATGACCAGTCATTTTAAAAGTTTCAATTTGGATTATTAATGAGTCTAGAGTAGTAATTCTGACTGTTAAATGGCAGATGTCAGGACAGTAAATGGATACGGTCATGGGGATGATTACAGAGGAAACAACGAATCACAGATGACTAAATATTCTAGGGAGGCATTAATTCAGCTCTTAAATCTGGTGCAGTTGAAATTACATCCTAGGTATAAATCTCTATATACAAGCTACAGTTATTCAACAGAACATGATTTGGAGCACCCTTAGGATGTGGTCATCCTGCATCAAGCTGTAGAACCTTTTTTCCAATTTTAAGTAACATTCTGGCACTTAATTTTAGCATTCGAGCATTTTGTTTCCCCTTTTATTTCAGATTTTTATAAAGTAGAGTGTCCGCTTTGACAAGATATCAATTTTTGATGAAGTTTTCAAGCTAATGTCACGGTTAGACTTGGTGGTAAGATTTACTCATCGAAGTTTTTAAAGTAGATTATTGTTAATTGATGAGTGATGTCTAATTCTTTATGAAAAAAAAGAGTGCTTTATATGCTATTGCCAAATTGTGGTTCCTACCTTAGCGTTCCATTAACAAAAGAAAAATCCTCCCTTTGCAGGTAGACTTTTCTGAATTCTCCCGCTTCTATGATTTTGTTTTCTTTATGTGCCATGAAAATGGTCAGAAAAATATCAGTGAGTTTTCTTGCTTTATAAAACTCATTATAATAATTCTTAGCCGTTTCTGTTCATTCCTTAGAATAGCCCTATGAAACCTCCTTTACCTTTCTTTTTTTTTCTTGAATTATTTGCAGCTGTAAATAAGGCGATTACTGCATGGAGGTTAGTATTAGCTGGGAGGTTTCGGTTGCTGAATCAATGGTGTGATTTTGTTGAGGTACAAACATTCTGAGGTTGCTTACAACTCAATGCTTTCTAGGGTTTGTTTGTTGATTCAAATGCAACTTCTTCTTCTTGTTTATGTATTGATTTTGAATGGTATGGAGTTGTACACTTTTATCCTACCTATTATGTAAATGAAATGATGTAGTTGTTAACTTCCAGTAAGTGGTATGAATAGTTGTTATACTGTTCATACCCAGCAACTGAGTTTATTTCTATGACATAGTATTAACAGTGTACTTCTATGACGTAGTATTAACAGTGTACTTTTTTTACTTTTTTTTCTTGTAGAGGTATCTTGTTATTACTAGTATTCTACTTCTCAAAGTTTTCCATCTTTTAGTCTACCTCAAGTTTTTTATTTATTTTTTATTTATAATTGTTTTAAGGTTTTGGGTTTCTTTGTTAACCCCTTTTGATTTGGATAGTCTGAAAATTTACAGTTTTGGCTTTGGTTGAACTATGATCAAAATGGTCGGGTTGTGAATTTCTCTGGTTTCTAATTTTGCAGATGTTTGGTCTTTTGTTGTAAACGATTTTGAAACCTCAAGTCCAGTACATGCCTTCTGTTTTGTTGCTTTGACACCATTTCTTATGACATGTTGATTGGACATAACTTGTTGCATTATTTGTTCTTGTAGTTGCTGTCATATAAAGAGTTTTTTTTTAGGTATTTTTTTTATTTGTAGGTTTGAGACTTGAAGTTTGTTGATCAATAACATATTTGTCAAGGTAGATACCCCTGCATAGATTATCCATGAATAAAATTAGCAAGAATGTGTTCATTTTAAAACTTTAGATGCTAATGTTGGATAATTGAGAGGAGTAATGTGGTAAATGTTGTACCAATATTTCATAATTTTCAGCAATTTAGAACTTCTCCTTTCCAAAGCTTGGCCACTGCGAATTTTGGTATTGCCAATGGATGCCACAGCTAGTGGAACCCCAACTATACAATACCATAACATTCTTGACCAGCTAATTACCACTATTGTTGTTGCCACTCATGTACCAACATTCAAAATGAGGCAATGCCATCGCTTTGGGACCTTAATCCCCATAGAACTCTCTTTAGCTGCCAACCCCTCAATTGTCCTTCATGTCCTTACTGCATGCAATTTGGATCCTTAAGACCTTGCAAAGCTAGAGGCAAGTGACCTGTTGCTCTAAAGTTTGGCAATGTATTGGTCTTTTAAATCTTAGAATTGATAATGCTGCTGGTTTGATTTTGGATGTGTGTGTTGCAGGCAATATGCTCATTTTTCTGGCAGTCTGCAAACTTTGCTCCTGACTTTGAATTGTCCATATCAGAGCTTGCTACTTTGGACATGTGCCAAAAAAGTGGTATATTTAAGCCAATGACAGTGGAGAAACGTCAAGAATTAAAGCAAAGATGTGGGGGTTTCATGAAAACTGGTCTTGAAGTTCTTGTTGGCTAGAGAGGCATGTTTCAGAAGGGAGAAATCACAGGCAATAGCAGGGCTGGGTCACAGCATTACTGTAACTTCAAAATGAGCTATGTATTCATTTAGCTCTAACAACTCAGGACAGCTTGGACATGGCACCACTGAAGAGGAAAGGAGGCCTCGGCAAATTAGGTTGCCAATTCTTGATCACTCCTTAGACCTAATTCTGTAAAATGCAAGAAAAAGAAAAGAGAACTAGTTGACTTAAAAGAAAAGTTAATGGAACTCCGTTATGTTGCAGATCTTTGCAAGGCATTCAAATTGTTCAAGCAGCTGCTGGGGCTGGCAGGACAATGATGATCAGTGATGCTGGGAAAGTTTATGCCTTTGGACAGGACTCAAGATGATTCTATGACATAGTAATAACAAGATAGTTCTATGACATAGTATAAACAATGTACTTTTATGAAATGGTATTAACAATATTTTTCTATGGAATGGTATTAACAATGTATTTCTATGGAATGATATTAACAATGTACTTCTATGACATGGTATTAACACTGTATTTTTATGACATGGTATTAACAATGTATTTCGGGCTTGCTGGGCTTGTTTTGGGTTTTTTTGAGTTTTTTTTGTTGAGCTTGTTTTAAGTTAATCAATGGCAGAGATGTAATTTATAGTAACTTCAACACTTATTTCATATGTAATAAATGGTTTTTGGGTATGTTTCTAAATTGAATTTCATGTAGGGTTTTTTTATAATTTCAGCTCCTATTTTGGGTGTATTACTAAAGCTCCCAATATTATTTAATATTAAGAAGGGGTAAAAAGGTAATTTTAAGTTCGGGAAGGAGTTTGGAAATTTTGATTGGACTCGAATCGGAGTTGTAACGAAGAAATGACGATCAAAAGAAGTTCAGTGGCATAACCGTAAATATTTCGACGTTTAGTTTTTTTTAAACCCAGAATTTCTGAGTTTGAGGGGGCTCGACCAGCTGACTTCCAAAGGGGATATCTCTCAGCCCCGACCACCAAATCGAGCAAGACCAGTGCCAAACGAACCACCTCGCTCCCCTCTTTCAATCTCAGCCCATCCCAGCCTCGACCCGCCGCCGTACTCGACAGAAACCGCCATGAAACAGGGCGGCGTGGACAGTTTTTGACGGAATTTCACGGAGCTCGTTCTCCCTCCTCCGGCCACCGTTTCATGCAAGTGAGGTATGCTTTCTCACCTATTTTTCATGCTCTAGCTGATGGTTGGGTAGGATTGGAGAGATTTTGAGGTTTGAGAGGTTAATTTTCGAACTGAAAATCTGCCGGTATTGCGTCGCCGATATCAGCCACTTCCGGCCACTTTTTGGCCAAAGTCCAAGAACAAAAGTGGCTCCAAATTAGGTGTTTTACCTAGGCTAGGAGTTTGGGCCGGCGGTTTGGAGATTTTCCGGCCGCCGGAATTTGTTAGGTACACCCACGCGTGGGCGGCGCGTGGGCCAGGTAGCAGGGGTCACTCTTGGTCCCATAATGATCCTCGTGTCCTCATGAGTGCATAGGAATTCGCGGATCTCAATTCGGATAACGTTTGAACCCCGAACGGATCTCGCATATTGTGTGATTTCCGGGTTCAATACATTCAGACCGTTGAATCATAGCCAAACTGGAGTATGTTGAGCTAGGCAATTTTAGGATCGTGTAGGATTCGACGGATCGTAAATCGAAGTCCTGGATACTCCAAAAAGGCCAACCCTAGGGCGAGGGTTACGGAAATTGTTCGTCCGTCCAATTGGGCGATTGTGAGCAATCCGACAGTCCGATCGAGACCAGACTTTCGGGACATGTGTCCTAAGCATATTAGAACCTCTAGGAACGATCGGATCGGAATTCTGAGGTCGTGGACCCCACGGTCCATATGTATATTGGATGATTATAAAAATTTCTCCATCTCAATACCCAAAATAGTTTTGCATGTAATTGTTAACATGTCACCCATATGGATATGAGATTGGTTGACGTTGCCCTTGTGTGAGCATTGTGGGTTTTTTTTTCCCATTCCATGTACATTCTTGATATTATCGATATTGATACTTTGTCCAAATGCTGATGAAGAGAGAGTGAAATTTTGGGGGCCGAAATTTTTCCGATATTATCCTTGGAATTATCGATAATTAGATGGATAGGTTCCAAAATATCCTCCTCCCGAAAAAGCAATAATATTGGTCATTTCAATTGATATTATCGATATTTTAGATCTTGATAAGAACCAAGTTCCCAGCCAAGTTGCCAGGCCAGCGAATGCTATTTTTTTTTTAATACCTAAATACCTTCCAATTGTACTTGGGGAATGCCCAACACAGAAGAAATAGCTTCTTTTCTAGGTCCAATAATTGACGGATGCGTAAAAGATATGTAAATGCGACTTGGTAATGATTTGTAAACCTGATGTGATGTTGCTACTATCGTGGTGAACATGAGAAACTTTCATATCATGAAAATTCAAATGTAAATAATTTTGAAGCATCTTCTACGGATTGTAAAGTTGGGGTTTTATTTTTATCCAAACTCTAATTTAATTTCTCCAAACTCTAATTTTCATCAATCGGAGGTTTGAGATGCTTCATTCAAATATAAATTTGTGGTATCCTACAACTCATGATATATACTCAAATTCCAATCCAGTAATACTAAACAATGATCTAGTTCAAAGCAAATCTTTCTTTCCCCCCAAATATTTATTTTAAGTACATCACCTTCACTATCTACTTGAATAAATGGGCTAGATCAGGATCAGCCAAGTCCACATCCAACCATCCATT